CACTAACTTATTTTAAACCCTAGAAGATCTGGCACATACCCGAATGCATAGTGGGAACTGGCAAATCTGCTAAATATTGGTGCTTTTATGAACATTAATAAAAGAACAAATAGGGTTTTTTTTCACTGTAGGCAACACAATACAAGAGAAGAGCCATATACTTTAAAGGGAAGACCTCTGCTCCAGGACAGGAAGTATAATGGCTGGGGTCTGGATGGCTAGGTGGTGCTGCATAATATTGTCCTGAAGGAGATCCTTACAATTACATTTTATGTGGAAATTGGCTTGGTAACGCTAACAGCTAATAAATCTGAGACTCATACAAATCGCCCTATGGAAGTAAGTTAAAAAAAGTAAATACATTCCTAAATAAACAACATTTATCCTAAACACAGGAGCTGAGTAGTATATCAGAACTTGAAATTAATGATAAAAAATGGAATTCACTGATCTGTTTCCTTTTGCATTTTTCAGCCTGAGAAATGCTAAAAAGACAACATAACATTTATAAGTATAACAGATATTTTAAAAGTTTTTAATTTGCATATGGTAATGTTGGTAGTCAATGTAAGAATAGGATCGGGGGGTTTAATTTTTAGTGTGGTCCCTTTTCATTCTTATTTGGGTCCAGCCAATAATTTTTCAATACTTAATTTTATAAAAATCTTCCCTTTTGATTTCTGTGAATGCAGTGAAGACTTCACATTTTTGTAAGTGGCTCGTGATTAATTGGGTGCTCAACTGAGATGCTTTTAAAGCGGCCTGGATCTTTTCAGAAAGCAGTGGCTCTTCACTTTCTACAAATGAGCTCCTTTTAAAGTATCTGGAAGTTCAACACCCAAACATTCAGCCAGCAAAATCCCCATTTTCTGTCCAGTTAGCTTTTTTCTAAGATGAATTAAATCTGGTGTCTTAAAAAGATGCGAGCTGCGTCAGATGTTTTCAACATTTTTTTTTAATAGCTGTGAGAAGCAGTTTGGTTCAATGGGCTGTTGACTGGGAGCCTTGACTGCGTTACTCAACACAGTCGCTCACTCTGGGCATGTTCTTGTTGGACCACCTTGTGCCTCCAGCTCTTTTAGACCATAAGGACATGATGTCTTGTTATCCTTGTGAAGTGCTTTGGGGTCTGTTGAAAAGCACTGATTTTATTCAACTGAGATTAAACTGGCTTCTCTAAGCCACAGTAATACCAACTGTTAAATGTGAAGCTTTGGCCCTTGATGCTGTGTTTAGGCACCTGGAACCCCTGCTGTATTCAGTTTTCAAAATGACTGTTCCAGGAGGCCTTGGGTAGAAACTTTGGTTCAGATGGACTGACCCTGTGAATCAGGCAGATATTCCATGTTACAAGTCCTGTTAGTGATGATGTGGGTACCAGACATTCAAATATACATAGGAATTCAACCCTGCCCTTTTCATAAGAGTGCTATACTTGGTTAATTGCACCATTTCCTGCCTCCGCTCACTTCGCTGTGAATATCCAGAGCACGTGGCAGGAAAAAGTTGTGTCAAAACTAGGCAGTAAAATATATATAAATATTTTCTTTTCTAATTCCTCCCGAGGGCAAACTGGTCTGCACTGAATCAATAAGCAGGCCAAGCCCCGTGCAGCATGTCATCAGTCTTTCAGCATGATATGTACATGTGCTGTTTTCATTGACATTTTACAGCTTAATCAAAAAAGGGTGTTGCATTTTTCTTATCCATTCTGCTGACATGTGTGCCAGCATTTCCATTAAAAATCTTCCGAGCCTGGAATCCATTGTACCAGGTCCCAATGTATGATTCATGTTCCTTGTTTTAAGTTGTTTTAAAAGAATATGACTTTCAAGTTAAATTGTATTAGATTAAAAATGTCTTTTTCTGCTTGTGTATCTTATTCATGGGAAGATCTTTTCACTCTGAGCATGTCTCCTGGGCTCCAGAGCCTGCCCTGCAGTGCAGGGGAGAGAGACTCTTCAGATACAGCCGAATAAAGTCCATTTCAACCCTGTGGTGCCAAAGGAGTGAGTCTGCACCTGGGAACAACACTGCAGTCCAGTCTCAAACCCGCTGCCACTCTGGTAGCACCACTGCAGTTTCTTTTGAGTCGACATCAGTGGAGAGAGGAGGATCCTCATGGTATGTGACAGGATGCAGAGTGACTAGGCAGAAAGCAAGGTGGCATCTTAGATACTACTTGATTCAAAGGCAGAGATTTTGTAGAGGATGGCCTACTTCACCAAATTAAAACCTGTGCCTCTGAACAAGCTTCTGTCTCTCTCAGCCCTTCTTTCTGCCTGACTTCAGACCAGCGTGGCTCACTGTCTCTCTGTACTCCAGACTGATTCAAGAAAATGGCTGAGGAGCAGGGAGCATGAGATTATCCATCGCATTTCTCAGGGTCCTAGCCTTGAAGGTGCCGTCCCTTTCCGTTCCTCATTGTTACCTGTTGCCCGTTATTCATTTTTGCATCTGTATTTGTAGTGGAACTCTCATCTTTTGTGTCAGAGCGGCAGTAAAAGTATTGTACAGCGGGAGCCCAACCTTTCCCATTTTCTGTTTTCATGCAAGGATGGTTCTGCGTAGGTAGCAATGAACAGGAAGCAAGACTGACAGAGAAAATGTAAATGTTCATGGCCTTGCAGGTCAGGCTTCAGCCTCAAATGGACAAGGAATTGGAATTGAGCAGCTTTGGCGATGAGTTGTTTCCTCTGTTTTCTGGTTCCTTTGCCAGGGGAGGAGATGGGGCTGGCTTGTCAAAATCAAGGTGTGGAGTAGAGGAAAAGTTGCTTTGCTTGTAGCACAGCCATTGTCCCATTTCTAAAATGTTTTTATACAGAATGTTGCTTATGGGAGTCTCTTTTCCCATAACTGTGCAGCAATTTGCCAAGGAAACATGCTGTACAAGGGCTTACTATTGTTAGGGACCAAAAGAACAAAACCTTAAGAATTAGGTAAATGTAAAGACTGTAGTTCCGTGGTTTAATATTCCGTAAAACAAGTCATATTTTTTACCAACCAATGTGGATATTGTCTTGGGCATAGCTCCTGCTGTGTACTGCACTTTGCTTAACTTGGTTGGAAAGATGTCTTCAAGTTGAGACCCAATTAGTGATAGCACATGTACACGCCAGCGTGAAACTAGTAAGCGCTCTGTCCAAGCTGTATTATGAAGAATTATTTCAGTTAATAGTAATTTTATTTTTGGATAAACATTACACTTGTCTCTTTATTATTTGAATCCAAAACTATATGTAGGGGTTATTTTCTTTTTCCTTTGTACCTGTGTCATTCATCTCTGATCTCTAGTTTTTCTGTATCGTTGTACTTTCGTTTGAACTGCGGTGGTTATTTGTATTCTGGCTGTAGTGAAACATGCATGCTTACTCTGTGACTGTTTCTCTGCTTGGTACTTAGCTAGCTCTTGCTGTCATACTGAACTGCTGTACAATGTCATGAGAATAGTACTACTTTATGGTAGAATTTAGCTGAACTCAAAACCCCCAATAACATCCTAGTGGAAAAGCCACTGTCATATCTCTATCTTTGACCTTGGCACCCTTCTATTTTGTCCTGTCCAAATTTCCAAGCATCTAAAAACTTAGAAATTACCTAAAAAATGTTTTCAAAACTTCAGTCATCAAAGTCATTAGTAGTTACGGCAGATGCAGGTAGTTTCATTCTGCCAACTATAGTAGGCCGAGAGCTGAATATAGCTCTGAAACTTCTTCGACATGGCAGGTGGCAGATGGTGAGGAATGCAAATATAGTTCACAACTGGGCAGATTACTGGAGTTGATAACATAAGGGTTAGGTATGGTCAGGCTGTTTGTTTCTCTTTGAACCAGGCAGAGAGAGGAGTGACTAAACACGAAGCTTTGGAAAGGCTCTTGCAGCATGTTTGACACCTTGTTTTGCTCTAGTTACCTTTTAATGTTGTTCTGAGATGATTATGCTTCCTAAGAGGCTCTTTTGACAGCCTTGCATGTTTGGGTATAGCTAGGCTCATAGCAAGAACACAACAGGCGATAGCAAGCAGCTGCCTGACCCACCCAAAGGAGTGTTTGAGAGAAGTTTTCCTATTGGCATCACCAGGATTGGAAGGTCACGGTGACTGGGCTGGCTGTGTTGTGTCCTGCCCAGGATTTCACTGAACATCCTGCCGCCCATTCCCCAATATGTTGGGGCTCAGGACTTTCCTTCTCCTAGGATGAAATTCTAGAATTCACCCACTCTTTGACCCAGATTTGGGTTAAAGCCCTTCAGTACGGGTCATGGACACTACAGCAGGGCCAGCTGGGGTGTGGATCCTGTGGGTAACCACTCTCCAGGAGCTGAGCCCCAGTAGTTAATACACAAGACCCACACGCCCTTCTCGAGTACTGGTGTTTAATATCAAGAGCAGGAACATGGCAGAGACGTAGGCTTCTCTTTGTGTTGTTTTGAACATACCTGGTTCTTCCATAGCCTGTGCTTAAAGAGTGCTGCTTGCTTACAGTTCAGTCCCCCATTCCTTCCCTGTCTGGCAGATGCACGCCAGGCTGACCACTTCTGTCCCTTTTTGCTGTGGTACCTTGTAACCAGGAACAGTCTTTTGATCTCTTGGGTTCCAGTTTTGGCCGAAAAGGCCTATTTAATTGTTCTGGCCCCTGGAAGTGGTATTGCCTCACTGTTCTCCTAGCCGCTTTGAAGTGGTGTACTTATCACTGTCTTATCTCTTAGTCCTTTTTTCAGTTCTTGTGTCTCCAATGCCCAGCTTTGATGACTTAACTCTTTGAGGTCAAGCAGGCAGAAATATAACATTGAACAGAAAATAGAGCCATGTATCAACAGTCAAAAGAACAATGGGATTTTTCTAGTTTGTTACTGGCACAATTTAGGACCTTATAGTGAAAAGATTGCTGAGCACCAGGCATGAAACCCTGGCTCCGCTGAATTCAGCCAGGCCGAGATTTCACCCCCTCTGGCTGACACAGCAAGAAGTCTGGGTTCAGAGCATGGCAGGAGTCAAAATATAAGACTAGGTCTAAATGAGTGTGTGGGGTTTAGATGCCTGGTGGTACCTAACTGCTCCTTCCCTTTCTATCCAGCACTACCATTTTCCTGTCCCTCAGGTTTGGAGCAAGCCCCTGAATGAACTTTATGTATCTCTGCTGGATGCAGGTGCCCAGCCTGGTTTCTGTGATGATTTACCTTATAGAAAGCAGTTACCCTCATGTGCCAAGTTCTTGAGAATCCTGAAACTTGACATAGGTAAAAGTAACAGGGTTGAAGTAAATAATAAGGTACGGGCTCTTCTTTTTCAGAGCTGTGGAAGTGCTAGCTCAGTGACAGTGCCAGAAACTCTGTTGTTTGTTTCAACTCTTGATGGAAGTTTGCATGCTGTCAGCAAGAGGACAGGGGCAATCAAGTGGACTTTAAAAGAAGGTGAGTAGGAGGTGTCATTGGGCCTTCTCTGCAAGAAATTAAATAACTGCAAAATCGAGATAAATCTTTTGAAGCCATTGTGCATACAGAAAGATGCATTTCTTTGGTTTGCTGTTCTGGATCTGCCTGTGTCTAACTGTAGTGGTTTAGGAATCATGCTGGCCTGATTACCATACCTGATGTTTTGAAGTTAAAGCCTGCATAATGGTGATATGTGTACAGCTTTATTTGCCTCTGAATGTAACCCTCCCTGTTCAAGATTTTTCATTTGCCCAGCAAGGCTTGATTCCAGTGATTTCTTTGATGTAAACATTTTAGGTGCCATTGTCCTTCACAGGCTGGATTATGCAGAAGAAGGGCAGTATGGCACCTTATAGACTGGCTCATCTTTTGCCTAACTCAAGACTAAAATAACTAACTACCTCTTAAAACTGGATTGTGCACAGTACACCACTCTGCTTGGGGCTAGCCTTGTAATTTGCAAGCTGCTCAGATACTACAAAATACTGCCTGTGCCTCCTGGGTGGTGTGAGGAATGTAGCAGGAAAGGGTCCCTGAACACTCTCTAACTCTGCGTTTGCTCCCCAGTGTAATTCAGAGTGTAGATGCACTCGGTCTGGAGAACCATGAACGCAGCTGTCATGGGCTCTGAGCAGGTATCCAGGTGCTGTGGTCACAGGTACAGTATAAGGATCTGAACAGGACAGAAAAGGATCAATCCGCCAGGCTGTTTCAGCTGTTCACCTGTGGAACAAGGAGGGACAGGGTTTGTTGTAGAAGACTTAGCTGTAGAGTATGCTCCTCTCTCTTCTCTGTAGGCCTGAGAAGAAGGGTAATAGGTTAATGATGCCTTCCTTTTATTGACATGGAAGTGCGAGCTGTATTTTGTAATAATGTTTGGTGACGAGACTAGATGCTTGAATTAATAAAATAACCACACAGAGGACTCTTGAGAACAGCTTCTTCAGTGTTTCTTTATGAAAACACATTTGTAACTGGCTGTGGTTGGTCCTGGATGACTCTGTGAGCCTTTTTTCTTCATCTCTGGAAACCATTAGAAAGCAACGACCTGAAATGGAGTCACAGTGATTGCAGCCTTTGGCTCAGTGTTGGTAAACCAGTTGTTGGTTCAGCAGGCAGGTTGAATTAGTGGTAAAGGACTGTGCTTATCAGATTGATGTCTGCTCTTCAAACCAGTGTTCTTCCCTCCAGAGGCCTGTTTGGATCCACCAAGCAAGGAGTTAATTGTATGCTTTTTAAACTCCTCTTATCTACGGTAGAGTAGGAAAAGGCAAGCCCACAGGTTGCTGTCTTGGCATATGGCTTTCTTTGTAGATTTTTTTCTATCTGTACCAGAATTATTCTCCCCTTTTAAAATTCAGGCCCCTTCCATGCCTGAACAGACTTGACAAGAAGAATGAAAGTCAATACCCTCTTAACTCACTATTGCCTCATTGCTTCGAGCTATATTAGAAGCTTCCTCTGGTTTCTGCTGGTCTCCGTACTGACACGCATATGGATATATCTCCCTATCCTGTGAAGGATGTCTTTACTTGTAGACAGCCTTATTAGGGGACATGAGGTGTCTCTGAGGAGGCACGGAGGTATTAACTAATGAACGTGAAAGGATCCTGGTTTAATCCAGTCTGCTTAAGTATAATTCCCCATTGTAAAATAAATAAATAAATAAATATGTTGCAGAATACAATTGGCAGCACTCAGGATCAACTGGTTTTGAAGGATGTGTATTGTTTTTTTCATGTCTCTGACAATGTTATTCTGGATTTTATCTGCCTGTGGTGCACTCAACTGGTATTTTTGTGAAATGCTTATCACCAATGGGTTTGGTTCTGTATGCCAGTAAAAACCACAAACCTACATCCAAAAGTGTCAGGTTATAGTTGCTAGCATTAGAGCTCATTTGAGATCCAGCTTCACAATGGTTTAGCTTAGTGCAGTGAAATTTCGAGAGCAAAGACAACATGAGTAACCTGGGAACTGAAGGTGGAAGCTGTGCTTCAAGTTGAACTTGGCATTTCTGACCCTTCTGTTGCAGATGGCCCCCATGAAAGGTGTGTAGCACTTGTAGCATAGTCACTGGAGTCAAGCATCAGAGATGGCTAGCTACCTACCACCCTGCTATAATGTTGTGTTAAATGCTAAAATATGCCAACTTTAGTCTTAATTTCAATGCCTTCTCTTTTTGCTCTCTTGTCTCTGTTAATTGTACACTTGTAAAATGTACAAAACTCTACTAGTAAGGTGCAGATAGAGTGTGTCTTCTGACAGGTGCTTCTGTACCCTGGATATCAGAGAACTGAGCACATGTTGCTGTTCACACAGCTTGAGAGTTTGGAGATCACCTGCCGTAAGATAGTGTTTGTCGTTGTGCTTAAAAACTTTGATGTTTGGCAAATTCTTGGTTGAAGGTTTGCTCATGTCTTGAAACTGAGAATGAGTAAGGGGAATTGTTCAGGGTCTAGTAGTGATTAAGCAGATGCAAAGATCTTGCTATTTGTTTGTTGTTTTTAAATTAGCAATAAAACCTATTTTAAGTACCCAGAGTAAATGAGCCAGTGCTGCTTGTCACCACAAGTACATATTTGGGTTTTCTGCCCTTATATAGTGCTGCCAAGAAAGGCATTTTGAATGCTCTACTCCCTTTTCCCTAGATGTACCCAAAATAAACTGGGTCAGGTACTGTTAAGAGACCCCATGGTTTAGAAGAGAAAAGTGTATACACTACACTTACCTGCAGCACATACTCTGAGCCTAGTTATAGTAAGGTACCCTCAGCTCTCATTAGCTTAAAGGGAAATTGGTGCTCAGCAGTTTGCAGAATTGGGCCTCCAGCAACTGCTATGTAGCTGGTGCCCAGGGGTTTCAAAAGATAGAAGGTGGTTCTACAATGAATAGAAAAATGGTGGGGGGGAGTTCCTGTTTCAGAAGGACTCTTGTCCTTCCTGGAGCCCCAGACAATTCATCCTTTGCATCTTGAAGCTCCAGGATGGCCACCACCTCTGAACAGTTCTGTAAAGTGTTACTTCTGATCAGCATGAGTAGCTCTCAGGTCCCAGCAGTTCAGTAAGCTCTGTTACCTCCTCCTTTGTTACTCGCAAGTCACCAAACAAAAATCAAGCTGCAGCACTTCAACATATTTTTTCTTTGTTCTCCCACTAATTTCTGCTTCCTCCTACACTGTCCTCAGACTGTCCTTTTGCACCAAATGACCGCTCGGGACGGCAGGGGCTCAGCTGCATTTTCCCCCTGCCTGCACCAGTCAGTCCCGAGCGGCACATGGCTCTGCCACTGCTTCTGCTGGCTGGTGCCAACCTGGCCGGCCTCCTCCTGTCCCCAGCAGCACGTGGGAAGCCGGCTTCAGCTGCACGCTGCTCCGGATGAGACAGACCCGCCCAGGTCGGCACCAGCCAGCAGAGGCGGTGGCGGAGCCGTGTGCCGCTGGGGACTGACCGGCGCAGGTGGAGGAAAGTGCAGCTGAGCCCCTGCCACTCCGGTCGGGCTTGTGCTGTCCCGAGAGGCCCGTGGCTACTCTTCTTCCCACACATACCGCGTCGGCAATGTCAAGCTGACACGGTACGTGTGGGAACCTTGTCCCTTCCCCAGCCCTTCAGCAGCCATTAGGAAGCTGCTGAAGGGCTGGGGGAGGGACAAGGGGTGGACTTTCATTTCCCGTTGCAGCACCACAGGCCTCAGAAAATGCCTTGGTGGGCCGCATGTTGGACAAGCCTGGGATATACACTATGCCTAGGTTTGAGACTAGATTTGCAGCCAGTGGGTGCATCTACACAGGATATCAGCACGCAGCAATAACCTTTAAAGTTTATTGCTTCCAGGCATGTTGTTTAAATGTGCCCAGAACTGAGGCACGTTGAGCGGGGTTGGAGCAGCCCTGGCTGGCAGGGAGTCCAGGGGGTCAGCCTGCCAGCCTGGAGCTGCTCCCCCCGGCTCTGTGCGCTGCGGAGGGGCTGGCTGAGGCACAATGGTGCCCCAGCGCAGGACTAGCAGGCAGGCACCCCACACTGAAGCACCCTCCTGCCCCAGCCAATTGCATCAGCATCTACACATGTGCTACTGGAGAATTAATTATTTTCCTGCTGCCTAATAGGTCTGCATATGTAGACATGAGATGTTTACCATGGAGCTAATTCATCTACTGTGTCTCGTGTAGTAAACGTCTGGTGTAGACGTGCCCGGTGTAGATTGGATGGTGTGATTTAGAACGTACAGTCATTAAGTCGGAGACTTCATGTTCCTGAGTTCTGTACAACGCTAAGCAATTAACAGCGTTCATTTTAATTGTTTAAAGGGGCTCCATTTCTGATGATTTTCTTCTGCAACTTAGCTTAGCAAAGTCAATAGTTCATGCATAAAGTTGCAGAATTAAACTGTTTATGTGCTGAGCACTGTTAACAGTGCTGGGCTGAGAGCTGTAGCAGCAGTGGTAATCATAAGGGTTGCCACAGCCCGGGAAGGTTCTTTAGTCCAGATCCAAAGATGAAGACAGTAGTGACTGTAGAGAGAGATGGCTGCTAAGGTCTGAGCTGTGAGACCTTCACTTCCCAGGAGCAGGTTCCAGAGGATGCTGAGTCTGTGTCTCTAACCTTTTTGAGAGGAGTTGCATCACGTAGCGAGGATGATGTGCACGTGTTTTAACTCTGTCCGTTAGCCCAAGACTTATGCTGGGCCCTAGCACAGGAAACTGTTTTTTCCAGTTCGTTCCATGGTGGTAGCAATTTGTTCATTTGCTCTTTCAGAATCTGCCACTTCTCCTTTTCGGTCATTGGTTTCATGGGTTTTTTTCTCAAGATACTGGCATATTACGCTGATTGAAATCTGTAAAAATATTGCAGGCATTCAGCCTAAATGGCTCTTTGGTCAAAGAGCAGCCTTCTCCTTATCTAGGTTTTTATGAGGCAGGTCGAAAATTTAAAGTGATAGATGCTGTAATGCTATAAACAGAATTATGCTAGGAACTATTC